AGTGAATTTTACATTTTCTCTTTTTAGCCTTCCAAATAATTGTTTCTGTGTCTTAGTTTTCATTCCACAGAAGTTTTGGGTTCAGCTGTCAGACATTCATTGCCAGAAGCACAGTGTCATTGGCCCCATCTGATGTAATTGAGACAGTTCACCATTGACACCAGCACCCACCAGTTGCCAGATGTGCAGGAATGACCAGTTAGTGACAAGCATTTGACCCCTAACTCTTTATGATTGCTCCAAGAGTGACTGCTTCCTTTCAAACAGTGGCACTCAAAAGTAGTGCATATTTCCCACCCAGGCTGGATATATTTTTAGATGTTTTCCAATGGATTTAAGCCATGAATTTACTAATGAAAAAAAACAGATTTCTCCACCTATGTAAATTATGGATTTAAAATTTTTTTCCAGCTATTAATTGGCTTATAAATTAATAAGCTTAAGGGGCGCCTGGATGGCGCAGTCAGTTAAGCGTCTGACTTCAGCCAGGTCGCGATCTCACGGTCCGTGAGTTCGAGCCCCGCGTCAGGCTCTGGGCTGATGGCTCGGAGCCTGGAGCCTGTTTCCGATTCTGTGTCTCCCTCTCTCTGTGCCCCTCCCCCCGTTCATGCTCTGTCTCTCTCTGTCCCCAAAAAAATAAATAAACGTTGAAAAAAAAATTAAAAAAAATAATAAAATAAATTAATAAGCTTAATTCTATTTCTGAAAGCTGTGTCAAGAAAATAAAAAGCTCTTAGTCTGTATGTCAGACTTTTTTCCACTGCTTTATAGCACTATAAGTGGTACACAGATACTGCACTTATGTTAAGGCTACAATTTGTTGAGTTTTACATACATATATACCTATGAAAGAAGTTTTTGCAATCAAGGTAATGAATATACCTGGCAAGCCCCCCACTATCCATCCCTACCATATCCCTAGGCAACTTGATCTGTTTTCTATACATAAAATTTACTATTAATCTTATAGATTTATATATATGTGAAATCATACACTAGATGTCTCTTTCTTTTTCTGGGGTCTCTCATCATAACCATTTTGGAATTTATCCACGATGTTGTATTAGTTGTTCCTTTCTATTACAAAGTTGTATTGTTTGTTAACCCTTTGCCTTGGATATGTGTCATTTGTTAATCCATTATCAGACATGGAAAATCAGACCTTTTTTTGAGAGAGAGACAGAGACAGAGCATGAGCGGGGAGGGGTAGAGAGAGAGGGAGACACAGAATCTGAAGCAGGCTCCAGGCTCTGAGCTGTCAACACAGAGCTCAATATGGGGCTCTAACCCACAGACCATGAGATCATGACTTGAGCTGAAGTTGGACACTTAACTGACTGAGCCACCCAGGCACCCCAGAAAATCAGAACTTCTAATTGAAGGTGTCCCAAATCACAATTTTTTACAGTCTTTTTTTTTTTATTAAAAATTTTTTTAACGTTTATTTTTGAGACAGAGAGAGACAGAGCATGAACGAGGGAGGGTCAGAGAGAGGGAGACACGGAATCTGAAACAGGCTCCAGGCTCCGAGCGGTCAGCACAGAGCCCGACACGGGGCTCGAACTCACGGACTTCGAGATCATGACCTGAGCCAAAGTCGGTCGCTTAACCGACTAAGCCACCCAGGCGCCCCTACAGTCTTTTTTTTAATGTTTATTTATTTATTTTGAGAGAGAGGAAGGGGGAGGGGCAGAGAGAGAATCCCAAGCAGGCTCCACACTCAGCACAGAGCCTGACACAGGGCTTGATCTCACAACCATGAGATTATGACCTGAGCCAAATGCAAGAGTCAGATGTTTAACCGACTAAACCACCCAGGTGCCCCTATAAATTTTTAAAGTCATGTTTCCTGCTAGATTACTAACATGAATACAAATTAATGTTTGAAACTGAAACCAACCATGTAAAATAATCTAGTTTCATCTTTTTAGGCAAAGAACTCTGTATGAAATGACCATATAATCTTAATGTGAAACATTAATTTAAAAATATTTTCTGGGGTGTCTGGGTGTCTCAGTCACTTACGCGTCTGACCTTGATTTTGGTTCAGGTCATGACCTTGCAGTTTATGAGATTGAGCCTCATGTCAGGCTCTGCGCTGACAGCACAGAGGCTGCTTGGGATTCTCTCTCTCTCTGCCCTTCCCCTCCTTGTGCTCTTTCTCTCTCAAAAATAAACTTAAAAAATTTTTTTTCTAACAAAAGCCAAATATTAAATATTTGGTGGGTGCTTTTCTACACTGTTAGTGAAACTGCGAATTCTCACAACCATCCTGAAAAGCAGTTTCAATTAGCAATAATCGCACCTCGGATAAACCTCATTGGCTACGATACTGCCACTGCGCAAAGCTCTGAAAAGCAGTTTCATAATGTGTATTCACAGCCTTGAAAATATCCAGTTTTTTATGAAGTGTAATTCCATTTCTAGTAATCTGTCCTAAAGATTTAACCCAGCATACACTCCAAGACCTTGTATGAGAACTTTGATGGAATAGGGTTTATTACACTGACAATTTGGCAACATCCTAAATGCCACACAGTAAGGAAACTGTTAAATTATTGTACACCCTTCCAGTGGAATATTAGGCAGCTCTTAAAATGTATGTTTCGTGGACATTTCAAAACATGGAAAAGGCTCATGATTTAATGTTAAGGGGAACAGAGCAAAGAATTGGACTGTCTCAAGTGTCCTTGACATTAGGGGTAAGATTGCTGCAGGAAAATTCTTATCCATATGAGGTGCCCTGGCTCAGATTTTCATGGGTTCTGTGGCTTTATCTTCCAGGCATGCTTTCCACCTGTAGCACTTTGCTTTTGGAAACTGTGCTTCCTTTCATTCTCCGGCCCATCACTCCACCCCAGTTGCCCCTGCCTGCTTTTTGGGTTGGATGCCATGGGGTAGAGGAAGTGTGCTGTCATTCAGGACCAAGTCTGCCAGATTTGAGGAATATCCACGATTTTCCAGGTTGGACCTTTCTGGATGCATTTTCCTGTAACGTTAAAAGAGGTGTTTCCAGGGGCGCCTGGGTGGCTCAGTCGGTTAAGTGACCGACTTCAGCTCAGGTCATGATCTTGTGGTCTGTGAGTTCGAGCCCCTCCTCGGGCTCTGTGCTGACAGCTCAGAGCCTGGAGCCTGCTTCAGATTCTCTGTCTCCACCTCCTTGTGCTCTGTCTCTCTCTCTCTCCCCCAAATATGAACATTAAAAAAAAAAAAAAAGGCGTTTCCATATTGCAGTTATATTCCACTGTTACGACAAGTTTTTCAGGTCGTCCTCAACATTATAGCAGTTGAAAGGTGAAACATGTTGTAGGTGACCAGAAACTTGTACTTTACGTGGCGTTTAGATAAGCTCCTGCCTGGCTGATATTAGGCTTCCGGGGATGGGTGGCGTTTTAAAGCATTTTGCCGTCTACCGAAGATGACAGCTGACGTATCTGCTGTTGTTCCTGCTTTTGTGTCGCTGCTCACCGTCCCCTCCAGTTAGGAAAGGGCACACCTGCTTGTGCATATGTTTTGATATCACTAGAATTTTTATTTTTGAACTCTGAATCCTTTTTTTTTATACATACTTGTATATACTCAACGTAGCACATATGTTAAATAAGTCCATAAGATGTTCTCTGGTGAAGTACGTCCATTTAAGATGAAAAACACCCTTCATTTCCCTGGGTTACATCCTCAAAACAGAAACAAGTGAGTAATCGCTATTGGTTGGCCTCAATCTGTTTTGTGCAGGATAACATTAAATCATTGGAAGGAATTAATAAATAACTCGAAACGTGTTCTGTTGGAATTAGAGAAAGATCAGAATGTCAAGCATCTGGGTAAGAGTTTCACTGCTGAGTTGACAGCCATGCAAAGCTGAGATGCTGCCGGGGCTAGAAAACTTAGGATCTTGCACAACAAGGCCTGGTTAGCCAGGTCTATGCCGTCTCCAACAAAGAGTCCAATAGGGTGCTGTGTTTTGCTATTTTTACATCCAAACCAATTTTTTTTTTTCTTTTTAAGAGAGAAGGAGAGAGGGTG